AGTCCCCTACTATGACTGCATTATTGTCAATTTTTTCATTAAAGAGCTCCAGAAGTGTGTGTGTTTTTTTTAATAAATATATTAAGTGTTCTTATATTGGGTGCATATATGTTTACCAGAGTTGTATCCTCTTCTCTGATCAATCCCTTAAGTATTATATAATGACTAGTGGCCTGGTAATTGAAATTCGTACACATTAAAAGGGGATGAATTAGAGGAAATATTTTAATATTGCTATTTGCCCTTTCTCTATAATAGAAGTGTCAGAGATGAAACAAAATTAGTAAAATGTATATGAAAACCTTCCTCCTGTTAGAGTCTGGGTAGCACCATGGGACCTAGAGTCAAGACCCCGCCTACCCACTTGCACCTCGAAATCATGCGAGACCCGGCCAACCCCACTACCATTGGGTTAGATCCAGACCTAGCCGGTCCCTTGGACCAGTGCCAGGGCAAGAGGCATGGCCTGAGGTCCCCCAGCTCACACCGGGGCAGGAGATGCGCCTTGCGGTCTCCCATCAAGCCCTATTGGGTGGGGAACATGGCCTGAGATCCCCCATCAAGCCCCACTGGGCCATGGGCTGGTCTGAGATACCCTGTCAAGCCCCACCATGTAGGGGGGTATGGCCTCAGGTCTCCCCAACCAGTGCCTGGGTGGGGTTGTGGCCTCAGGTCCCCTGGCCCAGTGCCAGGGTGGGAGGCGCACCTTGAGGTCCCCTGTCAAGCCCCGCCAGGTGGATAGAGCAGCCTGAGGTCCCCGGGGCTGGCATAGGAGCGGGGGGACATGTACTGAGGTCCCCTGTCAAGCCCTGTCGAGAGAAGGGCATGGCCTGAGGTTCCCTGTCAAGCCCTGCTGGGTGGGGGTTGCAGCCTGAGGTTCCCTGGTTTGACACCACAATGGGGGGAGTGGCCTGAGGTCCCCTGTCAAGTCCCATGGGGGATTGGAGGATGAACAGCTCAGGTTCCTGATGATTGCTCATTAAGGCTCAGTACAGGAACTCAGCCTTTGCTGTGGGTGCAGCCATCTTATGTTATGGAAACCCCGTCTCCGCTGTGGGTGCAACCACCCTGTATTACAGAAACCCCCCTGCCTCTGCTGTGGGCACCACCATCTTTGCAGCAGAGTGATGGTCAATTTGCATATTCCCTCATTATTATACAATAAAGATCTTTAGTCTCTTGTTATGGCCTTCATTTTGAAGTATATTTTTTTCTAACATGAGTGATTGTACCTCAGCTTTTATTTAATTTTCATTTTGATTTGCCTGGAAATTTTTTTTCACTCTCATCACTTCATTCTCATATTATGTGAGTCATTTGATCTGAGGTGGGTCTCTTGTAGACAGGATATATTTGGGTCATGTGTTCTTATTCTTTCAGCTGCCCTATGCCTTTTGATTGGAGCCTTTCATCCATTTACATTTAAGGTCATTATTGACTAGAGTCCCATTGCAGGAAGATTTCTGCAAGAATAAGGCTTCCTGTGGCTGTCTCAGCCACCCTGCCTGCTTCCTTCCCTTCTCCCTTGCCCCGCCTGCTTCCCTCCCTTCTAGACTGCCCTGCTTGCTTACTTCTCCACAGTTTCGCTCCCTTCTGCAGATCTTGGCTTCCTCCTACATTGTCTTCAGTCTTTGCACTGCACTTGGATATGCAAATTAACTGCCAGATTGGTTGAGTTAATTTGCATATTTGCTCCTGACTGGCTGGTGGGTGCATGGCTGGTGGGCAGAGCAGAAGTATGGTCCATTGCATGTTTCCCTTTTATTAGATAGGATAGTTCCTTATTAATTGCCATTTTAATTAAACCATGCTTTTCTCTAGATATACATATTTCTTATTATTACAACAGCCTCTTTAATGTTTCTTGTAAAGCTGATTTAGTGGTAAATTCCTTTAGCCTTTTTTTATTGTTTGTTTGTTGTTGTTTTTTTGTTGTTGTTCTGGAAAGCTCTTAATTTCACCATCTATTTTGAATGATAGCCTTGCTGGGTATAGTTGTCTTGTTTTCAAATTCTTGCTTTTTCTTACTTTGTATACTATATGCCATTCCCTTCTGGACTGAGGAATTTCTGATGAGAAATCAGTAGAAAACCTTATGAGATCTCTTTGTAGGTAACACATTTCTTTCCTCTTGCTGCCTTTAAGATTCTCTTTTTCTTTAATTTTTGGCTTTTTAATTATGATGTGTGTAGGCCTGGGTCTCTTTGGGGACTCTCTTTGCTCCCTGAACTTATTTGACTTTTTCCTTCGACATGTTAGGGAAGTTTTGTGCTGTTATTTCTTCAAACAGGTTCTCTATCCCCTGTTCTGTTTCTTCATACTCTGGGACTCCTGTAATGATTTCATGGTGTCCCACAGCTCCCTTATACTTTCTCCTTTTTTATTTTGACTTTTTCTATTTCACCATGCTTTTTATTTTTATCACCATTGCTATTTATTTATTATTTATCTTTGAAAGTATTACATATGTCCCCTTTCTCCCCATTGTCCTCTCTCAGCCTGCTCCTGTCCCCCGGCCCCAGTCTTCATCCCCATCATTGTCTATGTCCATTGGTTATGCTTATATGCATACAAGATATTTGTGTTTTCTTTTTTGTTCTCCAATTGAGTGATTTTTTTTTTCTACGCTGTCTTCTAATTTGCTGATCTGATGCTCTGCTTCCTGTAATCTCCTGTTTATTCCTTCCAATGCATTATTACTGCTATGTCATTCTTTATTTCCCACTGGTCATTTTTCATAGTTTCTATACCTTTTCTCATGCTGTTGAATATCCTTGTAATAATCATTCTGAATTCTATATCTGATACATTGCTCATCTCCATTTCATTATCTCTTCTTCTGGAAAATACTCTTCTTCTTTCATTTGGGGCTTTTTTTTTTTTTTTTTTTTTTTTGTCTCCCCAGGTTGGCTAACTCTTTGGGTATGTTTCTAGGTATTAGATAGATCTGCTATAACTCCTGGTCTTTTTGTAGAGTCTCTATTGCAGGATAATGTCAGAAATGTTTGTGATTGGTCCTGAGTACCCTATTTGGAGATATCAGTAATCCACAGCTTTTGGCTACCAGTGCTAGGGTTGGGTGTATTTGGACAGGACCAAGATGTGCACCCAGGTCTGCTTTTCCTAGCCCTGGGTCCAAAAGCATATCAAACACACACAAAGTACCCAGAGATCCACCTCTTCCTGCAGTTTGATTGTTATTCTCGGTCTCTTAATGAGCCTGAGGCTGTAGACCACAGCAAGGTGTAAACTCCACAAGGTGGGGAGAGTGGTTTTCTAACAAAGTGGGACAACTGCTTCCCCTCCCCTAACCCCAAGAAATAGCTGCCTGGATACTAAAGGTCTGTCTGAGAAAGATTTCCTCTGCTGTATAAGGGAATGACTCAGCACAGGAAACCAGGTGGCTGCCCTCCAAGCTCTATCTCCAGAAGCCCTAATCCTGGATTCTCTTCACACAGCTTTAGTCCACTCTGCCCTCCCTTTGCAGGTGCCTAAGTTGAGTGGCTGCACACAAAATTTTGTGCATTGGCTCTCTAAGAGGGTGCTTGCATTTCAAGCCATCTCTTCCTGGCAAACAAAATCTCACTGCTTTTCAAAGCTAGATATCGTATGGTCATCTTTCTCAGTTCTGATGCTCTTGGCTGGGTACCAAGGGTGGGGTTTAGACCCCAGAATCCTTAGTGGGATCCTCCCACAGCTGAGATATCCTTCCAGATCTTCAGTTGCTGCGTGTGGGGGCCCAAAAAGCCATCTCATGCTTCCACACGTTTTACTAGTTTCTATGTGGTCTTCACTTTCTATCCTTGGTTATCAGGGTTCTCTCCAGCTAGTCTTCAGATGACTAATAGAATGGTTTTTCTATATTTTAGTTGTAACTTCAGTTTGGTCCTGGGAGAGTGTCAGTGTAGCTCCAATTTAATCTGCCACCATCTTGTAATTCTGTATTTTCTTCCTTAATGAACAAAATGTTTCTTCTGGAGGCTAGAAGTCTAAGATGAAGGCAGGATTGGTTTCTTATGAAGCTTGTTTCTCTGGCCTATATATGTCCACCTTCTTGCTGCATCCTCACATGATCTTTCCTCTCAATGTGTCTAGATGTCCTCTTCTAAAGACCTTGCATCATGACACAGGACTTGAGATGGGAGCATAATACAAATATGTCCCAATATTCTTAGCATCAGAAGTATATAGGCAATGGAAGAAAAATGGGTAAAAAATGTGTGGGGGTAGTTTTCATCTGTGGAAACTTCTTACAATCAGCAAACATGTAAATGCACTCTCTGCATGTGAGCCACTCTCACAACACATCCACATGTTTACCAAGTAGGAAGCACTCTCACCCGCAGTATCACATTTAATATTAAATGGAACATTATAATTCTATTGTTTTTGTTAACAAGCTTAATAATTATAAAATTTCACATACTAGTAAAATCATACTGAAAATGTCTTTTAAGAAGAATTTGTAAATGAAAATCCACAGCAACAAAAAAGACATTAATTTCACCTTTTGGGTAGGGAACTCAAATACTTTAGTTGAATTAGGATAAGTAAATGATACACTGTGGTCATAAAGAATTTCACAAAGTAATTTCATATTTTTTAGTTGTGAGCAATGTATTATGAAATAGAAGGTACTCAAACATTTGTGAACTCTAGTGTAGGCTAGAAAGCAACTGAAATTCAGAAAAGAAGTAAATGTTTCATGACTTTTATTCACCAAAGACCCCCTAGTACGTGCCTCTCCAATTAAGGTAGCTGCCATTACAAACATGTTGAGACCTTTAAATTTATTTTTTAAAATTTAATTTAACTTGTAATAAAATATGTTAATAATTATATTGCTTTTCTACCAAATCTCAAGAAATCTGTACTAAAAAATGTTATAAGTAACAAATCCTTCCTTGACGGAAAGCAGGAATGTATCGAATAGTATAAAAATATGAAAAACCCAAGTGTTACATGCCATTTACAGCTTATCATTTTCTTCTGGCACCTACCTGCTGTTGTTCCTTATCCTCAGTTTTCATAGCTAGTATCAGGCTTCTAACAAATGTCTGAAGTTTAAAGTATTTTTGCTTTTGAATCTCTAGCTCATTTTCAATGAATCTGACTTCTTCATTCTGAATGAGAAAACATCAAATGATATAATTTCCCTATACAAACTGGGATTGTACATAGCTGATGCACAATAAAATTATTAAAAGCAATCAAATTAGAGAGACAATGAAGAAGATAAAATTTTAGCATAAAGGAATCTAAAGCACAGAAGGAAATTGTCCTTTTACTCAAAGGCTGTTTTTAAGCAAACCACTAACAGAAAACAATTTGGAAGGTCAAAAGTCCCATGAAATTAATCCAGTAAGAGAAAAATCAAGACACAGTTCCCTTATTACAAAGACTCCTCCTATATTAACCTAATTCGCATTTGGAATAGGATTAAGAATAGAGTCCAATTAACCCCAAGTAAAAAGCAATTACAAATCCAGTAATACTGAATGTATCATTCACAAAACCAAATACTGAGAACTAGAAAGGTTAATATTTTTTTTTTTTTTTTTTTTTTTTTTTTTTTTTTTTACCGAGGAGAGACTTGAATTATTACTAAAACTGTCTTAAGTAGTTCTCTGAGTCCCCTGTCTTTATGTAAGAGTCTATTACTCAGAAAATATCTCCAAATATACCACTGTTTCCTACTAATTTGAGACTAATTATCTCTTCACTGTTTTTGCTAGTTGCGTAAGACAAAAGCAATAGACTAGGGTTTGGGAGGATTTTAGTGCTAAGTTTATTAATAATTGTGTAAACTTTGAAAGGTTATTCTCTGTGACTTTGTTTACTCATCAATAAAATAATATAATACTAATACTATTTGGATATTTTAGGTTTGAGGATGAGTTTCAAATAAGAAAATGGCCATTAAAATTCTCTGATATATTTAAGAAATGAATTATATACTGAAAAGTAAATCCTAAAATTCTAAAACTAGATAAAAAAGAAAATACAGAGGATAAAAATCTTTGTGTCCTTGTGTTAGACAAAGATTCCTCAAGGGGGCACAAAAAGCATGAAACCTAAAAGAAAGACTTCATCAAAGTTTTAAAAAAAGTTTGACCTTCAAGAGATAATGTTAATAATATACAAATACAAGCTACATATTTGTAAATCAAATATATGTTAAGGATCTGCATTCAGAACACATAAAAAAAATCTTGCAACATAATTATAAGACCAGAAACAAATAAAGAGCAGGCAAAGCCTTTGAACACATACTTACAAAAGGAGATATGTGAATGATCAATAAACACATTAAAGTGCTTAATATCATTTGTTATTTAAGAAATGAAAATTAAATTTGATATGAAATTGTACTACTAACATACTACAATGGCTAAAATTAAGGAGACTGACAATAGTTCATGCTCATAGCAATTTGGAACAATTAAAGTCTCATACATTGTTGGTATGAGTGTAAAAGGATACATCCACTTTAAAAAATGTTTTGGCAGTTTCTTATAAAATTAAATCTACTCTTTCCTATCATTTCACTCAACAATCCTACTCTTACCCAAGTGAAATGGAAAAAACATGTCCACAAAAAGACATACATATTCATAGCAGCTTTCTTTAATCACAATAGCCAAGTAAGTACTAGAAACAACACAAGTGATCATCAGTAGATGAATAAACAGATTGTACTCATGGTTACATGACTGTGTCCATTTATCAAAATTTATCTAACTGTATAAGGAAGTGAATTTTATTTTATGGAAATTTTATCTAAAAAAACTGATTAAAGTTAAAAAAATAAATTATTAGCCAGCCTCTTTGCCAAAACACATGAAAATAATCTATGAGTATTCCTTGAAGCTGGAGAATGTTTCAAAATACACAGCAAGACCTTTAGCAGCATTTAAAAAAATGAAAAAAAGTTTCTTGAAATACATTAAAATAACTTAATTTTATGAGCATTTAAAAATATATTTTTTATTGATTTCAGAGAGGAAAGGAGAGGGAGAGGGAGATAGAAATATCAGTGATGAAAGAATCATTGTTTGACTGCCTCCTGCACAACCTCTACTGGGAATGTAGCCCACAACTTGTACATGTGCCCTTACAGGGAATTGAACTGTGACCTCCACTGAGCCACACCGGCTGGGCTGGGCATTTTTCTTCTTTCAGATGAAAGGATGCAGTTGTATTAATCCCAATAAATATATGAACATGTTTATTACATCAATTTCATCAGCTCAGTTTAGAACTTATTTTACTTAGCAAAATTGCTTCCTTTTCAGAACACTTAATATCAAGTGAATCATCTGCAAATGATGATTCAAGTTAAATTCCTTATCCAAAGACACTTTGCAGCAATCATATTTACAAGCACGAAAATAAAGTTCAATGTGCTTCTGCTATAATACATTTGATTAATTCTAAATTTTGGTGTTTTTTTGTTTTTGTTTGTTTTTTGTACTCATTGTCAGAACTATAGTATAAATAAAGTGCTGACCAGGAAGTCTTTTTGAATACAGGAGATATCTATCATTATCTTAGTATTTCTAATGAATATACAATCCTTTTAAGCTGAATTTAGAGTTCATTAAAAAATTAAAAACAGTAATTCACATTTGAAAAAATCATGAAACACCTATTGATATGCAGACCTCTAATTTCTCATCTGAACATTCCTCTTCCTCAGTATTTATGCATTTGAAAAACATAAACAATTTAAAGATAATATTGCAGACATTTTTTCTTAGAGCTGCATTTTGCAAGTCTATTAAACACTTCCAAGAGTAGAAGCAGTAATTTATGTGTACTTTAGAGATTTTCCTAAGTTAATGGAGTGTTTTTGAGAAGAACTAGTATGACAACATCAGCCACTGACTTTCAGAAAAGAATATCTGCTCATTTGTGTTGTTAAAATCATCCCTACATTCCAGTAAAGTTTGCCAGTTCTTCTCCAAGATGATTGTAGGGAATATTCAAGTTGTTGTTTTATGATATAGTACTCATGTCTCAGAGATCACTAATTTGTCTCATAAGCATTTGGGTTAGTTAGAACTCCTAGAAATATGGATTTTTAGGAATATATCTCAATGAGAAACTCTAGTACACCCAAACTGAGCACTAATGGTTGAACAGTAACAATTATCAAATGCACATCAGAAATATTCATTCATTCTGCTACAATAAATCCCAAGAATAATGGAAGATTGTTTAATTTAGTGTAGGAAAAAGTTATTATGATCCAGCGTCTTAACTTAATTGATTTCATAGAAACGAATACTTGCATAATAGTATTAAAATATTTCCAGGGATACTTTAATGTATTTACTCAATCAGGAATTAGTTACTGGACACCCATGTGCTAAACACTAGACCAGATAACACATAGATAAATATGTCTTTCCTTTCAAGAAGCTTAAAAGGAATTATACTTAAGAAACCTACAGATTTTGATTCCAAAACAAGAAGTACTAACGTGTATGAAAATAAAATGCAAATGTGCTCTGAAGAAAGATTAAATTTCCAAACTGATGAGATTGTTTTAAATCAATATCCTGAAATCAGCAATGAGAACTGTTACAGGAGGTTTCACTTACCCAATAAATTCACAGGTGAAATGAACTGAAATGTTTTTAATATTGATCATAAAAATATATGTTTCTATGTAGGGGCTGTTGTTTGAGAGTTAAAGAAGTTTATGTAGGACGGTTATATGTTATAAAAGTTAACCTTAATAGGGTACTGAATCCTCAGAGTTCTGGGCACAACTTTATCTGAACTGCTTGAAAGTGCTAAGAGGAGCACATTTAACAGTTATGCAAACCAGTCATCTTGTCTGTAGTTTCCATAACCCGTGCCAAGCAGTGGCTTGCAGAGGCATTTTAATCCTGTTCCAGGCATTTAGAAATACAGTATATGATCATGTAGGAGATATTAGATCATGTAGGAGAAATTACTGAAGGGAGGATAAGTGGGACATCTATAATAGTGTCAGCAATAAATAACATTAAATTAAATTTAAAAAGAAATTATTGTTATACTATTTAAAATAAGAAAACAAAACAATCAAACAAAAAACTATTTACAATATCCCTGAAAAAAAACAACAGACATTCAAATTCTACTTAAATAGTGCCCTTCAGTGACAAGGAAGTGTTTTCCTATAAGGGTAGTGTATTTAAAGGTACTCTAAATCTAGTACTTCAGAACAGACAACTTTATAATTTTGTTAGTTGGAAATACATTTTAAATACAGGATTATATTGTGCTTTTGACCACTTAGAAAACAAATTTCAAAAGATAATTTCCTTCTGTGTTTACACTATTTAATATTTTAAAATCTGACATGTTATGCACATTTGGAAAACAAAATCTGCTGAATGACATAACTTTGAATTAAAGTAAAAGTGAAAAAAATTGAGAAAATGACAGCTGTTGTGTTTTTCTGATTATAGTTATGTTATTTTCTGTTATTAGACTCTGTTTTGAACTCTTATGATGTTTCAAAAAATAATTTTGTGTATGGAAACATGATTGTGTGACCAAAATTTCAAAAGACTCCAAAATTAACTTGTAAGATATGATACTGATTAACAAAGGGAAAACAATTATACATATATGCAGAAAATGTATTAACATATGGACTGATAGCTTTCAAAATTGAATAAAAACAAAACTGTGTATGCCATGCTATCAAAATAAGCTTTTCAATTTAGTAACAAGTGATATTAAGAAAAGGTAATTTCTATTCATTTGGTATTTGCATTAGGGATTATTTTTAAACTTCTCCTACAACAGATATACTACTGTATGTTTTTAAAATGGTCTTCAGAAGTTGTATAATAATTCAAGATAAAAATAGCAAAAGAAAAATCTGGAAAAATCCCTTTTATTACCATTTAAAAATGAACATTAAGTTTAAAAAAAGCATTGCCATAAATTTCACATTAATCATCACTATGCACAGCATCAACTTGTACACCATCAATACCTACTCCTATTGAGCAAAGCCTGTGCTGATAACTATAACCCCTGAACCAGCCAGTATTAATTAAAATGACCAGCACCCTGACTGATATCGAAGTTATCTGAGACAGTCAATGTGGAGTCCCAGCATGTTTAACTTATCAAGTGGAAGTGAAATAGACCAATACATAAGCACTGTAGACCTCTGCCTCATCTAATACCTTCTCTTAATGAATTCACAATTTGAAATTACTTTTACCTTATAATCCAAGAAAGAATTCACTTGTTCTACTTCAGAATTACTTATCATGTCACTTTCTTCATCGTCAATAATTTCTATTTTCTGTAACACAGGTAGAGAAGTTTTTATAAATATAGATTTTATCATCATCACTACACTCAATAATGTATAGAGTGTATACATTCAATATTCAGCTTTAGCTAAGGGATTATCTAGTCCACAATATCTGGAATAAACTCATGTAACTGACTGGCCCCCTAGTGTTAACACTCAGTGTTGTGTCTAAGCCACTTACCTCGATCTTTAATTAATTACTGCTTAGTAAATAGAAAATTACTGAAGGGAGGATAAGTGGGACATCTATAATAGTGTCAGCAATAAATACATTAAATTAAACTTAAAAAGAAATTATTGTTATACTATTTAAAATAAGAAAACAAAACAAACAAACAAAAAACTATTTACAATATCCCTGAAAAACAACAACAGACATTTAAATTCTACTTAAATAGTGCCCTCCAGTGACAAGGAAGTGTTTTCCTATAAGGGTAGTGTATTTAAAGGTAACCATACCTAATTGGCTTAAATATTTCTTAAGTCCTCAGACATCTCTGCAATTTCTAATGTAAAATTTCAACATAAAACATGAATTTCAAAGTCAAATACATTTTTTAAACAATTCACTTTTTTACTGCACTCCATTAGCTAAACAATTGAAAGCAGACATGTATAATGCAATGATCAAAATAGCATGGCTATGTTTCTTTCACTGGACAGTAAGAAGGAAGAGTGAGAAAGATGCTAAACTGGCCTTAGCTTTAGAGTTAAGGTACAGAATAGTTTATATAGTATCTTGTACACAGAAGGTACTCATTAAATATCTGTCAAAAGAAAAACAAAAAAACAACTTAGCACTAATGAAAAGAATGATCAATAAGCTTCAACCTTTGGGCAAGGCAAGTTCTCTAACCCTGGAACATTTTTCCAAAAGCAAAACCAAAACATAAAATCAGATCTAATTTTTACTTTTTGCATATGAAAACCAGAGTTAAAGAAAAACTATTCTAAATGTTTAAGCCCAACCAACCCAAAAGAAATTTTTAAAAGAGAAAAGCTAAGCTAGAATTAGTCACTAGGCAGTCTTTTTAGAAAGAGCACATTAACAGCAACATATTGTAGAAAGAATTGAAAACAAGTTCCTATTCAGCAATACATATAGCGATTAAAAGTCACAATCTTGGATTGATCATATTTCATATATTTCCTGGGAGAGTACAATACCATAACAGGGGTTGTAACCTGCAGGCTTCTGAGTCAAGAGGACAACTGCAAAGAAATTACTTTCTACTACTGCCTGGAGATGAATCTAATGTTTTGTTTTCGATTATAATAACTATAAACTTAGGACTTAATCCTGTCAGGTCTCAACAGACCTCTGATTTGATCATTTGTTAAATGTTATTTTTAAGAATCTCAATATATTTTGATTGGTTCTGGGATAAAGTAGCTAAATAATCTAGGGAGGAAACCACCAATGGCCTCTGTACAGATTTGTGCATATAAATAGATCTTATATGTCTTTGTGATTTAGTATCCATGAATAATTGGGGACACTCCAAAGCTACAGGCAGAAACGATCAACCTTTGAAAGTCTGGACTTTTGTCTCTGAAAATCAATTGCTCTTGAAAAATTAAGTGACTAAGTGACTGTGGGTCACCCAATGCCATTTCTTCATTCATTATCTTCAAAGGTCTGCTACAGGGGAGATCCAGTTCAGAGAAATTTAGGCTAAAATGAGCATGTCTTTAGGGGAAAAGAGGTTCAATATGTAATTTGTATAATGTAACTCAAATCTGTAGCAGAGAAGATTATTACTTGGTGGGATTTAAGAATATTAGCACTTGTTTTCCTATGCGCCCTTTGAATGTAGTGTTAGAAGAGTCGAACATCAACTTAACTCAGTACTAAAGTCAATGAAATGCAATTCTAAACAATATTGTGCATGTAGAAAACACATATATTATTGATGTTTAACAAAAAATAACAAAACTGTATTTTATGTGCTTAACTTTTATTAAGCAGATGTGACAGGATTACAGTGTCTGGTAAACAATGTTTGTAATTAAAGCTAAGGTAAATCTTGAAGTTACAGTATTTTTTAACAGAAAAATCCATTATAGAGACCTCTTTTTGTTCATAGGAAGGCCATAGGTTTTGTTCTCCTTGTCACAATGACTCCAAATTCCTGTTGGCTCTGCTGTGAACCAAAGAACCATTTCCTCAGGCCCTCTGCTCTGAGCATGTGCCATAGAGGCCATTTTTAAAAAGTTGCATTGAGGCACAAAACACTTATCCAAAAGCAAAAACAAAGCACAATGACATTTGCCTTTATGTCTGACTTTAATACCATCTTAAAATCAGTATTACTTGACAGACTCAGAATATAAACAGATATTGCTAAAACAGCTCCTCAGAGGACATCTCTATAATACCAACAATGCTTATATTTTTACAAAACCCAGTTTAATCCACACATAGCTTGTCTCTGACTGCTATTCAATTGCTTACTACTGTTTTCCTCCATTGCTGCAATTTTTAAGATAACAGAGGCCAATTAGCTAGAAAAAAGAAAAGGTTCCAAACACACCATGTAAGGTAGGAATGGTCTGAACAGAGAGAGACCTTGGAGTAAGGAATCCTTAGATACAAGTCCCAGAAACAACAAAGGCTTCCTTCATAATTTCAAGCTAACCTGTTTTAATTCTGTCATCTATGAAATGAGAAGAAATCTGCTCTGCTAAATGTGTTGAAGAAAATAACTTGTTATGCATAAAATGTCCTATGTGTAGTAAGCATTAGATTTTTATATTTGCAATCCCTTAAACTGAAAAAGTCTGAGGTTAAATAGACAGTGCTTTAACTTTCATTTGTTAAACTGTCAAAGATATAGAATTCATTGGTAATAGTTCTGTTTTAATTTGTAAAGTGGAACAAGACTTTATTCTGAAACCACTAATGTTGTCACCAACTAGGAACATATCCTTAAAATCCAATATGTAATGAGAAAATAATTTCAAAATGTACATACCACATTATCCTCGGATACTGCATGGTGGTCCTCCTCCTTATCAGCCCTTGTTTCATTAGGAACAACTTCATTGGACTCTTCCATAGACAAAAAGGCCATGATTTCATTTTACATTTCTCAAAACTTTATTGAGAATGCTTTATTCAAGATCAATGAAATAATTTATTTTAAAAAGACACAAATGGCAAATTCACTTCATATATGCTTTGTTGAGCCATTCTACTTTTTAAATGTGAATAGGTAAAAATACATGGATGGTCACCATTATATTATTTATAACTGAAAAAAATGAAAGCAACCTATATGCTTAACAATGAGAATTGGAGAATTCATTTAGGGCCTATCCCTACAATAAGAGAAATGAAGCTACTAAAATGAAGTAGAAAAATAGTTGATATTAAATAAAAGATTCATGACATAATGGAAAGTGAATAAATAAAAGTGACAGAACCTACTATGTAGGTATACTAAAAAATGTGTACATATTCCTGGAAAAAGAAAACTAACACTATTTACATAAAATATTTCTGGATAAAATTATAGGCAATTATTATTTTTCTTCCTTTTGTCTAATGTTACTTATTTCATTTGCTCTTTCATAATTAAATATTTTTAAATGAATATGCATTACTCATTGCAATAAGAGAAAAGTGATAATTTTCAAATACATGATATGATATAAAGCTATAAATATAGTAAGTTTCCAATTTTATAAAAAGGCAGGTGTTTGTGAATGCACACCCACACCCCCCCCCACACACACACACACTCACACTCCTGTCCATATGTAGAGAAAACACTGTCAAAAACTTTCCCCAACCTCTGTTTTTAGAATGTTTATCACTGAGGGGTAGGGTTATTTCCAAAATTCTTATTGTATTTTCCAATGTTTTCTATAATGAAAATATTCCTTTTGTGATCAAAATTCAGTATGTAAAAAAATGAGAAACAAAAGAAAAATTAATTCATAGAAGCCAATTACTAAAAAGTTTCTTGTGTTGAGGTAGAGGAAGTGGCTCATTCACAGCATAGGATATCTACAATATAACCACCTGTTTTAATTACTCCTACCTCTACTTAGGAAAACAGGGAAGCAACGTTTTTCTCTGTTCCTTCTGCACAGCCATAGTATGGAGATTATTTGCATACATACAACTGGAATTCTTTAGCCCTGAGTAATGACCGACATTTTATTTTGCCATTTAAAGTTCTTTTTAAAAAATATATATTTTATTGATTTTTTCAGAGAGGAAGGGAGTTAGAGAGTTAGAAACATTGATCAGCTGCCTTCTGCACACACCTCACTGGGGTTGTGCCCGTAACCAAGGTACATGCCTTTGACCGGAATCGAACCTGGAACCTTTCAGTCCGCAGGCCAATGCTCTATCCACTGAGACAAACCAGTTTCGGCTTATTTTGCCATTTAAAACAGAACAAATATATATTTCCAAATCCATTCATTTCCATGGAAAGACATATAGGTGCGCTCTGTATGATTACGGGGATGATTAGGAGGAAAACATGGTTGATCTAGAAACTCACATATGAATACATAGATAATTAGTGTTTAAGCATCCAGGGAAGTTTTTTAAAATAGCCCATCTACAGAAGTAATAGATGACTTGGTTTCTTAATTTGGAATTTTAATGCAATGTTCAATTTATTTTTAAAATATATTTTTTGTTGCTTTTCAAGAGAGGTTTGGGTGGGAGAGAAAAATAGAAACATTGATGAAAGAGAAACATAGATTGGCTGCCTTCTGCATGTCCTCTACTGGGGATTGAACAGAATCCTGGTTCATGGGTTAATCTTCAACCACTAAGTCACACCTCCTGGGCTATCAAAAAAAAAATAATGGTTTCTAGACAGAAGAAGCTATTATCTATTTGTTATTTAGAGATTTCAAGTCATAGACATTTCAATTCTTATATAATCAGCAACTAAATGAAATGGAAGGAAAATTGTCATCAAGTTTAGTTTCATAGCTGGTATTAGTACTGGTACCCTCAGAATATACGTTAGTTTGTTTATCAACATCATTACTGGAATTACACAGTTCTGTTTTTCCAGAAACATGCTCATTCATAGTTAATTATAAGATGTAAACAAAACTGTTTTGAGGATTCCTAAAATAAAAAGGTGTGAAATTATACAGCTATATAAGGCATGTTTTCTTTAACTTACAGATGGTTTCTATGTTAGTGAAAGCTTGAAAGTTAAACATTGCCAATGTGTCTGATTATCCCCTGCCCTTCCAAAATAAGCCTTAAAATTGGAAACTAAACAAGTAAGTGGAATTATTAATCAGTGAATTCTCTAGAGAGTATTCTATGTGGCGACCATAGTAACTATATGTAGATTTATCTTTCATGTGCACACCCACATAATAGACACAGCTAAAAAAAGGTTTCATTATGAAACTTAATGTTATAGATATTCATTTTCCCATACTTCAAACAATTTGCTTCTCAGAGTAGTAGAAATCTTGAAAATTGCTCAGCCATAAACATATTTGGTGGACAGAGAACTTGAAATTAAGAAACTGAGTCATCTATTACTTCTGTAGCATTTGCAGTTAGGTGAGGGATAAAGCCAGGTAGCTAGGTTGTTTTATTTTATTGTGGTTTCTTGTTTTTTACTCAATACCAACTACACCTTCTTTCTCTTTCACTCCATACAGGAAAAAAAAATGGAATAAGTGAAGAGAGGTAAAAGATGAAAGTTAGAGGTAAGTCAGAAGTTCTTTATCAGCGAAGTACCTATTCTCTCAGAAGCAAAATAGTGAAATTGAAACTGCTGAAAGATAAACTGCACCTTTTGGTGACTTTGGTTAAACCTGTCTTTTACTGTATTTTTAAAATGATCCTTAATTTTGCTTGTAGAAATTTTTTCTAGAAACGTTTTTTTCATCCTCACCTGTGGATATGTTTATTGATATTTTTAGAGAGAGGGAAAGGACAGAGAAAAAGGGAGGGAGGGAGGGAGGGAGGGAGGGAGGGAGAGAGAGAGAGAGAGAGAGAGAGAGAGAGAGAGAGAGAGAGAGAGAGAGAGAGAGAGAGAGAGAGAGAGAGAGAGAGAGAGATGTGAGAGAGAGTTGTGTGAGAGAGAAACATCCATAAATTGTCTCCTGCACCCTGATCAGGTATCAAATCTGAAACCTAGGAATGTGACCCAATCAGGATTCAAACCTGCAACCCTTTTGATGTACAGGATGACTCTCCAACCAACTGAGCCACCTGGCCAGGGCTTTTAATGTGATTTTTAATAAATTTTAACATGTAAAATATAAGACCTGATTTAAAAAAAAATACTTCTTTCTTCTTGAACATTTGGAAGACTACCAATAGCCATATTATAAAGAACCCTGAATTTCAAGTTGTTATGATTTTTAAATTGTATGCTCAGGTACTCTTTATTCTGTCTCTCTAGATCTACATTGTCATGCAGTTAATGAAACTCTCAAAGTAAACAAAAATGTAACTACATTTTCAAAACTGAAAGGTAATATGTTTAGTGTATTTTAAAGGTATGATATTAGTCTAGGCCAGATTATACAATTCACTTAATCATCACAAAAAGATCACCTAATTAAATGACTCAGAATACTATTTTGCATCAGTAAAATGAGGAAGCGAATAGGACAGTATATATTTAAAAAGGCTCTTTTCGGTACTTGAACATTCTTTTATGATATTGTGGTGCAATTTGTGATGAAAATGAAAATCTTACCATGCAGCTATAAAAAATTAGCAATCAAGAGGAATTCTAGGCAATCTCACTTCCCATAAAGTATTTTTTGACTTATGCATTCAATTCTCCATCCTTTTTTACATTAGATCTTGATTACTATGCCGGGTCTCTAGAGAACACACTATTAAATGACAAAGGATGCCAGTAGAAGCAGTGGTACATTAGGAACTCTAAAATTTGCTCATTTTCCCCATTAACTAATTTTTAAAATTCCCTCTTGGAGGGGGGAGGTTAGTGGGAGTTGGTAAATGAAACTCTCCTTAGGGGTTTATGTAATTTCTTTTTATCATATTTATATTCTTACAGCTTTCCCATCCATCCATAGAAACACACAGTCATTCTCTAAACATCTGTTTATGAATCAGTGAAAATAGTCAAGTACTCCAAGGCATTTATATATAATTTAGTAAATACAACCATTAGGCAAAATGGTTTAATGCACCCACTAGATTAAAAATAGGGGCTTGAAAATCATAATGGCTACTCCTTTCATTCTGCTTCACAGTTTTTCCATACACTAAATTCTCCGTTATGATCATCAATATCTATAACAAATGTTGGTAAGAAAGAAAATACATGGCCCTCTCAATATTAACATCTTTTACATCCCTTTCATTACTCAACCTACTGCAATTTGGTTGCCTTTCTCACCCACACAATTGCTTTTTCAAAGAAATCCTTAAACACTGAATTCAATGGTTTTTCATTCATTTTTGTAAATTTTATTTTCCCGCTTTATTCAGTTATAATTGGTATGCAAAATTGCACATAATTAATGTTTACAATTTGGTGAATTTAGACATATGTATACACTCCTGTTGCTATCACCACAGTCCAGGAAATAAACATATCCATCAGCTTAAAAAAAATCCTTTGTTACTTTTTTGGTGTTCAGAACATGACATGAATTACCCTCTTAAGTTTTTAAGTATACAATCCTTTATTGCTAACTATAGGCACTATGTTGTTCAGCAGATCTCTGGAACTTACTCCTCTTGTATAACTAATTTTTAATACCCCTTGAACAACAACTCCCCATATCCCTCTGCCCAATTCCTAGGTACCACAATTCTATTGTCCACTTGTACACCTTGGACCATTTTAGATACCTCATATAAGAGGAATTTCTACTTAACCTATATGAGATAGTTGAGAGAATTACCCCTCTTCCTCATGAAATTTTTCTCTTTGGTTTTATAAATAATATAATATCCTGATTCTCTTGTACCTAAATGTTCTTTTAATGGCACCCTTTTATCTTCCAGTCCCCAAATATAGATTGTTTTTAACACACAGTCCTTGTCTATCTTACTCTTTTGTTTTCTAT